ACTGGATTCCTGCATTCGCGAGGGCTGGAACACAGGCTCTCCATTCTATCGTGGTGGGCTTGTGGCCTGGTCTGCGCAATCGGTGCTATTGAGAGCTTCTGGATAGAAGGAGACAAAGCCAAGCCAGTTCAGCAAAAAGACGTCGAAAAATTGGCAAAAATGGATGTGGATGACTGCGAGGCTGGTCTACAATACGAGGAATCAGAATTGAGCCTGGATAAGTCTAGGTCTCCGTCAGAGTCCTCCGTGGAATCCTCCGCCCCCAACTCCAAGACATAACCTACTGCCATCTCCGGACCATAAGAGCGCTTTCTCTAACTACGCTTCCCACCAAAAAGAAAAAAGCAAAAAAATCCCACTTATGCATGACCTTCACGATGTCCGTACCTTTGGCAGCGCTGATATTCTCTTTTTGTTGAGCGAGAAGAGTTGCAATGCAAGCGCTAGCATCATGTTCTATTTTCCCTTTATTTCCCAAGCCATTGCCTCGCATATACCCATTTCTCTTTATCTTTACCCGTTTTATTTCATTTTACCTTTTGTTCACCTTACATTTTCCATCTTAATTTGTGATGATCATTGCCATTATCTTGTTTTGCGCTGCTATTACTGGGTGGCTAGGAATTGATTTGTTGAGCATTTTCACAATTTGTTTGATGGGTGGAACAAAAAAAAGAGTTCGGATTCCAATGTTTGTGTTTCCTTTAATTCATGTCCCTTTTTCATATCCGTTTAATGCGCTCTGTCTTTTCTTTTTTCCATTATTCCTTTTATTTTATAATCTCCAGAAAGGAGACTGTATCACTATATGAAGGGGCAAGATTGTTTTCAATTCGATAGAAAGTCATAACCTGGTGGAGGTATATCCTTGCTGTTTCTCATTCATACATGTTTTTCACCACTATTCTGGCTTTATCTATTCAAATGGGCATAGGAGGTCGAGGCTTTGGGAAGCTTCTTTGCTAAGTTTGCTAGTATCTCTCCATCTACAATTGAATACTTGATTACCAACACCTTCCAAAAGCTACTTGGGTATCATGAGCGGCTATTAATAACAAAATTCAAAGGGGCTGCGGATGTTAATTGAAAGGTTTTCATCGAGAGAGACTCTCTTGCAGTTGACGTGGTAATATGAAGTCAACTCCCTGCTGGCGTTAAAATTAGCATTTATTAGCTAGCTCGACCAAGACTCGCTGGGTATTGTTATTGAGCCTGAGTTCCGAGAAGGCCGGAGACAAGAGTACGGCCCAAGGCGTCGTGGGAACAGACTTAGCCGTTGGCATGACGCATGCATGATGGATGATGGACGTATGCATGTCCGTTAGTTCGTTAACTAGCCAGGTAGTCGTCATGTCACGAGTCCAAAGCATTTGCATTCGGGCTGCACTTCGTCTAACCTCAGCTCAGGTGTCCCTCAACGCAAAGCCGACCTGCCCACCCATCCATCCGTCAGTCCCGAGATCTGATAGCTTGACCATCGATATCGTGAAGTTTTACTAGCCTCGGTAGAGCCCGGCCATGGTTGTCTTACCCCTGTTTTTCGCTTTCTTCTTCATGGTCCAGGGTAACAATTACCAGCCACGAGACGAGATACCGTACGTCCGCAAGTATTTCTATGTCGGTGGACAGTATGCGGACGACGGCAACGGGGACCACATATTCAGGGATCAGATGTATGTTGAACACCTGGTGCCGACCAAAGGTCCGATAAAGCAGCAGCCCATAGTGCTCTTGCACGGTCAGGCACAGACGGGGACAGTAGGTTGACGTACTCGAAGCCCAAAGCAAATGACCGACGACTTATATGCAGCTTTCGTGCATGAACAAGGGTCAAAAATTAGCTGACTGGGTTTTCTTTTGCAGAACTGGCTCAACAAGCCTGATGGGGGCCGCGGTTGGGCCTCATATTTTATTGAGCACGGCTACGAGTGCTACATAGTCGACCAGACATCTCGGGGGCGCAGCCCCTGGGTACCAGAAAATGGCACAATAGCAGCCATTCCGGCAGAGACGATACAAAGGCTTTTCACTGCAACGGCAAGGTATAAGCTGTGGCCCGAAGCCGAGCTACATACCCAGTGGCCGGGTTCAGGTGTGATCGGGGATCCTATCTTCGATGCATACTACGCATCTACAGTGCAGTTTCTAAAGTCCCAAATTCAACAGGAGACTACGATCCAGGCGGCGGGGGCAGCATTATTGGACCGTATTGGCCGGCCGGTAATTCTGGTGACGCATTCACAGGCTGGTGCCCATGGCTGGCTGGTAGCAGATACCCGCCCAGAATTGGTCCATTCGATAATAGCATTGGAGCCAGCTGGGCCTCCGTTCGAAAACGTCATCTACAAAGGCCCATATAGCCGTGTATGGGGGCTGACGAATGCGCCTTTAACGTATTCCCCAGCTGTTGTTGACCCAGAAACAGAGATAGTGAAGCAGACGATTGATGACCGGCCGGGATCTCATTGCATAATCCAGGCAGACTCTCCGCCTCCTCGCCAACTCCCCAACCTGAGGAGAATAAGGACACTGGTAGTGACCGCTGAGGCCTCTTTCCATCGACCGACGGACTGGTGTGTTGTTCGGTATATGGAGCAGGCCGGGATTTCCGTCGATCACGTACAGCTGGGCGACATTGGTATACGGGGTAACGGACACATGCTCTTCCTCGAGCGCAATAGTGACGAGATCGCGGCCGTTCTGCGACGATGGATGGAAGAGAAAGACACAAAGCCGGCGAAGAAGGCCCAGGAAGCCCAGGGAGCCCAGGGAGCCCAGGAAGCCCAGGGGAAGGAGAAAGAGCTTTAGCGCGCGCGAGCTTTAGATATCACGTGATAGTAAACAGTAAAACATGACATAAGCAAGCACTGATGACGTAATATGACATCTCTGTGCCTCGGCTCTTTTTTTCTGCTTTCGCTTTCTTTATTTCAAGCTCGTTGTTGCCCGCAAGCAAGGGTAGAACGTCCGGCATTTGCTATCGAGCAGACGAGAACGCGACGAGGAAGACGCCGGCTTGCGGAGACAGAGACCGAGACAGGACAGACGGAGCCAGAGGATGAGCTGCTTGACCGACTCGCCCTAGATAAGCATCGCCATGAGCTGGAGTCACTGATAGCTAACTACCGGTCGCATCGATTATCTAGTTTAACCCCACAAAGCTAGATCTCCTCCCTGCCAGGCACCATGCTCGAGTACCGCACAGAAGGGTTCAACGGATGCGCAGTGAAGTACTCTCCCTTCTTCGACTCTCGCATTGCTGTTGCGGCATCCTCGAACTTCGGCCTGGTGGGAAATGGCCGTTTCTACATCCTCAATCTGACACCGCAGGGGATACTTCCACAACAATCGTTAGTAACCTGACTTCTATTTCTACCCTCCTAGCCCCAGACCCTGGATCATTATCTTCTTTAATAGATAGCTAACTGTTTGCCAACCCTTTCCTATTGTCTAGCTACACCACACAAGATGCTCTTTATGATGTTGCTTGGTCTGAGATCCACGAGAATCAAGCACTAGTAGCATCTGGTGACGGCAGTATCAAGCTGTTTGATATCGCTGTCAATGAATTCCCAGTACAAGGATGGAAAGAACATTCACGAGAAGTCTTCTCTGTGCACTGGAATCTAGTCGCCAAAGACCGCTTTTCTTCAAGCAGCTGGGATGGAACAGTCAAAGTTTGGACACCCGATAGACCTCAGTCTTTGCTTACTCTCCCAACTAACAGCTGCACCTACTCTGCTGCGTTTTCACCTCATTCGCCTGATATCTTATCCTGTGTGGCCTCAGACTCCTATCTGCGCGTTTTCGATCTACGGACCCCAGCTGCAACCAACCACCTCACTTTGCAGATGCCTATCCATGGAGCAAACTCACCTCACAAACCTGGATTTACCCCTGCCACGGGCCCGGTTCCCCCGTCGGAAGCCCTTACCCATGACTGGAATAAATACAGACCCTCAGTGGTAGCTACAGCTGGCGTGGATAGAACTATCCGCACTTTTGACATTCGGGCTCCTCATCAAGGGCCTCTATCAGCCATGATAGGCCATGAATACGCGATTCGAAAAGTATCCTGGTCACCTCACTTGTCCCATGTCCTTCTTAGTGCAAGTTATGATATGACCTGCCGTGTCTGGACAGACGGCTCTGAAGGGATGCCACCCGGCGACGCAGACCTTACAAGAAGTGGACCAATCGCTACTATAGGTAGGGAGCTAGGTCGTATGGGAAGGCACACAGAATTTGTCACTGGTATAGACTGGTGTCTCTTTGGCAGTGAAGGGTGGTGTGCGAGCTGTGGATGGGATGAGAGACTATGTGTTTGGGATGCCAGAGCTGTCATGGCGTAGTCTTCCCGACCCAATACAACGCACCACTCATTCAAAACAGATGTCTATGATATCCTTTGGTTATTAGACAACCATATGTCTGGAGATATATTTTGAATTGGAGTTGGAACCATTGTTACAATGTTCCAACTGGCTCAGTGTTTGTTTCGGCCAGCCTTCCACCACCTTGGCCACTACATAATCCACCTCCCCTCGCCTCTACTTGGACTGCCTTGGCTTCGTCTTTTGAAATAGATCGAAACTGCATTTGCATGATCAGTCCCTACTTGACCTAAACTCTACGAATTTATACCTCCTCTAAAGAAGATCCTGTTGTTACGAACTTCGTCTTATTTACTCATCACTCTTCTGATTGAAGACGGGCAAAGGCAGGTCTAATATGGCCACTCCTTATGAATACAGGTGTATTATACATCAAATAGGGATTAGAAAACGCTGTTTATTAATTGAGAACAAGTTTTATTCTAATAGAACTACACTTTTCCAGAGGTTTAACCCTGGCTTATCTTTAAAAACCGCCTATTGACATATATTTAGGAGCAAAGGTCATGCCTCACCACCTTCGAACCTTAATGACGCTCTCAATTATAAGCCAAAGAACAGAGGGCGCTGAACGCTCCAAAAATATTAGATCCTCCCGCGCCTTCTTTATCTACCCGTCAACCGGCTCTCGATCTTTGCCTTCTCTGCCTCTCTGGCCGCAGCCACTTCCTCCTTCGTTGCATCAAAGGCAACATTAACCTGGTTGAATGGGTTCTCTTCGCTCTTCTCAAACTCCTTTTTTATCAGAGCAATTCTTTGTTGTCTCCTGAGACCAGGCTGCTCCTGTTCAATCTCAGGTAATCTCCTCTCTTCATATGCAGCGTAAGCCGCCTTATATCTTCTCTCGGGATGCCGATCGATCTTCAGGGCATCCTTGGAGCCTAAAGACAGTGCATCAAGTGCATTATCGATACCACTTGCGTTCAAAGTCGCGCCCTTTTTGCTGGATGTTGGGTCCGCATCTAGTTGTCCGAGATCAAGTGTTCCTCTGGATTTTTTCTGGGCGGTTTTAGCATTTCCTTTGGGCTTGCTGGGGAGTGATTTTTCTTCTTCTGCTAGCAAAGCTTCACGTTCAGCCTTTTTGCGAGCTGCTTCTGCCTTCTTTGCTTCGGCCGACTCCCTAGCAACATCGTTAACCGTGCACTTTGAGGGGTATGCGAGAAATGCCTACTTCTTAGCACTAGACTTTGCACCCTTTTGCCATTCTTTGTCTTCTTCAGCTGCCTTCTTCTGGTCAGCTGCAGCTTGTTTAGCAGCAGCGGCTTCAGCTTTCTTAAATAACAGGTTGAATATTAGCTACTGAACTCATTCGTGTGGTGGAGAGTTTTGAACATACTCTCGCGTTTCCTGCAGCCTTTTTGGCGTTCTCCTTCTTGGGCGCCATAACTCAACTAATCCCGACAGATATACCAAGCGAAGAAATCTGTATCATCCAAAATATGATACCCCTGGAGATCAACGATTTGATAGAAGAGTCACGTAAAATGTTCACCAGTATAGAGAGTGGGGTCCGTGCGATAAGAGCCTTATCCGGATCATATATCTTCCGTAACCGAAAGCACATGACGGGACATTAGGTAGTTATTCCGCGTACCTAGGTAGGGGCATCCGGCGACGCAGCACCAGTTTGAGCCGCCAAATTTTCTTACGCCTCAGAAAATAGAGCAACGATTGGTTTGATACAGAACACAATATGTATGGGTTTCTTTCTGAAGAAGCATAATATCGTCCAAACGAATAATACATGCTAGTTGGGGTATTCGATAAATTAAAATACGGAGGAGAATTGTGGTAAGGGTCTAAAGTCGTTAAACATGTAGAAGAATGCTGAAAAAGGAAAGATACATGAGTGGGCAATAATCACCAGGGGCAGGTATGTATGGGGCACGGCTTCTTCACAACATTAAGTTCCAGTTTTCTTTCTTCCAAACTTTGACTCCCGGTGTGTCTTCAAAATGAGCAACCTCTGAGAGGATTACACGGGTTGATGGGTCGGGGTTGATAAAATCTTCGTCAATATCAGCCGTATCGTTTTTGTTGGAGTCAAATGTTCGGCTTTCCTTGTTCGTCAGGCCGTTTCTGTTACGGAATTTCATAAAGGTACAGCGCGTTTGCACAGGGCCACCAGAGGCATAGCTCACGCCAATGTAGACGTCCTTGACGGAGGAGTAGTGCGCAAAGTTATCAATAGCAGACTCCCGTACCTCGTCCAGGACACTAACGCAGTAATCCGGGTCCGAGAAAAGGACATGAAGTACACTGAGAGACTCCATGGTGCTCATATGTCGCATCAGTAAATGCTGTAATGGGAACAAACCATCAGTAACGGAATCTAAATAAAGTGAAAGAAAAAAGGAGGAAAAGGGAAGAATATCTTACAAAGCACCGGGAGCCGAGGTGGGCCACTAGTTCAATCAACTTGTGGCCGTTTCTAGTGATGAGTAGAACAGATGCTGGATCCAAAGACCAGCTTAAATCGTTGTCATTTCTTATCATCAGCCGCTTTAGTGTGCCGATATGTTTGGCGAGCACAAGATCGCGCATCCCTTCAACTGTAACAGTAGGTTTGGGAGTAGAAGGCTCTACTCTAGAGCGAGTACTACGCTCTATCATAAATAGTTCCTCTAGGCGTCGTAGGCCACTGAGGAAAGATAGCAGGTTACTGGTCACATTGTCTGTGTGAACAGAGATAAGCGGAATAGGGTTATAGCTATTTAGATTCTCCAGCGTGGCCCATAATGCCCTCTGCGGACCAACGTTGAGCAAGGAGATATGTCTCAGAGTCCACACGTTGATGCCTCGACAAAGGATGGAGGGTTTGACTGGAACCAAATAGATTGAGAGGCTGTCGAGCGCGATGCCGTGATGTTGGCGAACATAGTTATGAATGACCTCGTGTTCATTTATGCTATGATCGTCATTGTCGGCTGGTATCTTATTCGCAGGTCCTTTGTCTTTTGATTTACCAAAATGAACCGTGCCATTGGTCATCGCTTTGAGACGTGGTGCGGTATCGATCATTTCATCAACAAACTCCTGATCTTCTCCTTCACTAATGTCATCAGGATGTTCCATGTCTACAAGGGTTTGTAAACGCTTCTCTAGGTCCATGTCTTCAGCATCACCTGTAATGAGGGTATCTGTATCACCGGATTTCGGTCCAGGCTCTTTGCTCTCCTGGTTGCCATCAGCCGCTACGGCGTTATCGCCATCTTTCTCACCTGAGGATGCAGCTGGTGGAGCGGTTGACTGTTCACCTTGCTGTGTTTCATTACCTGTTTCTTTTTCGGAATCCTGATATGGGCCTGTAACCTTTTCAATCTCGGCTATGACAGCTTGATATTTTGGTTGTTGTGTGTTAAGCTTTTCCAAAACTGATTTTAAGTCATTAATAAGGGATACATCTGCACCGTCCCCAACCTGGAGACTTTTGGTTGTACCGGTAACAGCGTTATCAACAAGCTCATTTGACTCTTTTTGTGGCATCGCATTCTTGTCAATGTCTAAGCTGAAGAGGCGAGCAAGAACCTGTTCCTGAGCAAGACGTTCGCGCCGGACCTCAGAATTCCTGGAGCTAGATGAAGTAAAGGCTGCAGGCTGGCCGGGAGGAGGTGGAGGAGGGAGAGGCTGATAGAGTTCTTCCTCGTCTTGAACGCTGCTTGTTTCTGAGATCTCCTCATCTTTCTTCTTGCGCGCTGAGAGAGCTAGCCGTTCTGAAAACGATAACTTCAGGTGTTTTAGGGTTCCAGATGACTGTAATATGCATTTTGAAATCTCATCAATATACCCGAGGTTATCCATTTCTAGGACTTCCAGGGAGTTTATTTTGTTGAAATGAGAGAAAGTCTGAGTTGGATCCCAATATTTGCGGCTCTTGAACTTGTCACGACAGCCCGTAGAGTTGTGGGATAGATGATTAACCGATGCCATTGGAGGTGCTGAATGCATATGAATTTGGTTGAGCTGAACTGGAAGGGGCAGTGGCTGGGTCGGAGGGCCTGGAGGAGGAGCTGGCGTGGACTTTTTCTGGATAGGTTCTACTCCCGCGGGCATTCGAATGCATATATGCTGCAAGCTTGGGATTTTTGCAAGCGCCGCAAAGACTGCCGGATTGAGTTCAAGGCCCGCATTCCATCTATGCTGATAGTTAGAACAAGCCTGATATTGTATATGAGATAGCTAATGATCCTTTATGGTTTATATAAAGCAAATTGTCCATACCGAAAGGATTCCAATGTTGATATCCTCTTGATTGACGCAAGAAGGAGGTTGTTGAAGAATTTTCCACAGGGGGTATCATATTTGAACTGATCTGCTATCTGTTCTTGGAACTGATAGTCATTATCATCGGTAAGCGGTGCTGTGTCCAAGCATATTGACTTGATATATGCCGCATAGTTGAAATCACTTGTTGTCAACGTTTCTAGTTGCTTCGCGAGGCGGTCAATCGGCCACTTGTGCTCGAGATCACTCTTGGGCTGGAGAATGCACTCGAGAGATCGGTAGAGTCGAGATGCAGCATACTCCCTGACTGACCTTGAAACCAAACACAAGCTGACAAGATCCTCTGGGTCTATCTAAAACACGGTCACAACAGGTATCAGTCGTGAACAGCATGGTAGAGTAGAAAGCGGCCAGATGGCTGTCCATAGGTATATGAGCTATCACACTCACATGAGAGAAGATAGCCTCCAGGGTTTCAAACGGGAGTTTCATTAAAGGTGAACTCTCCATTTCGGCTGTTGTTGAATGGATGCTTTCTTCGATTTTCGTCATTGTGTCTACTTGGATGGAGCTTCAGGAGCTGCACAACCAGCAGAAACGCTTGCTCAATTGTCGGATACAAGAACTGCGCCCGGGATTGTCAAGAGCTGAGCTAGGATATGCTGTGGTTCTCTGGTTGAAATATAAACGGGAGGATCGGGCGAAGAGACTCTCAGGCCCGACTATTCACGCCTCTGTGATGAACGGATAGAGATAGAAGCAGTAATTGTTGTTGTTGAGTTGAAGTCTGGTGACCGAGTGCGAGGAGCAGTGTTGTGTCTTGCCAGGCAGCAGGGCCGAGCGAGCTGAGGAGAGAATTCAACTAACTTAACTAGCTAGATCGTCGCAGGCAGACAGGGGTTATAAATATCGACTTGCCGAATCGCTCACACGGGGGGAACGCAGGGCGCGCACACAACAACAGGTGAAAAGGACGACGGACAGGATGAAGAGACGCCGGAGTCTTGATATCAGAAAGAACGAAAGGACAAATCGAAAGTGAAGTTGAAGTCTCATCAGACTTCCTAAACGGGACGAAGGGGGAGAAAAGCTTGGGCCACTCCCGCATGATGACTAAGCCGGGGAAGTTTCGACGTCCATTATCAATGATAGCGTTATTCTTATTATTATTCTTATTCTTATTATTATTATTTTAATGATCAACTATTATCATAGACGACTTCAACTTCAACTTCGCCTTCGCCCTTGCCTTCGCCTTCGACTTGTCCCTTTCGATGGACGGGAGATTATGAGATGCAATCCTGATACGTTGCCGTGATACCGTTCCGCAGGTCGATATCGAGATGGAGCTACGGCTCCTCTACCCCTTCCTGGCCGCCCTCCTTGCCATCTTCCTTGCCAGCGGCGTCTCCTCCGCGGCGCATACCTCCAACTGGGCGGTGCTGGTGTCTACCTCCCGATTTTGGTTCAACTATCGCCATCTCGCCAATGTGCTATCCCTATACCGGACAGTGAAGCGCCTTGGGATACCGGACTCCCAGATTATCCTTATGCTACCAGACGACATGGCATGTAACCCTCGAAATGCATTCCCCGGGACGGTATATAACAACGCAGATCGTGCGTTGGACCTATATGGAGACAATATAGAGGTTGATTACCGCGGCTATGAGGTCACCGTTGAGAGCTTTATCCGCTTGTTGACTGACAGGCTGGGTGATGATGTGCCGCAGAGCAAAAGGTTGGGCTCGGACGCCGGTAGCAATGTGCTTGTTTACATGACCGGGCACGGTGGTGACCAGTTTCTTAAATTTCAGGATTCAGAGGAAATTGGAGCCTGGGACCTGGCAGACGCGTTTGGACAGATGTGGGAGAAGAAGCGATACAACGAGTTGCTCTTCATGATTGATACCTGCCAGGCGAACACCATGTACACACATCTATATTCCCCGAATATAATCGCTACAGGCTCAAGCGAAATAGACCAGTCCTCTTATTCCCACCATGCTGACAGTGATGTCGGCGTTGCTGTCATCGACCGCTGGACTTATTATATTCTAGAATTCCTCGAAACACAAGTCACCAGTGCAAACTCCAAGCGTACCCTAGGCGACTTGTTTGATTCCTACGATGAGTCAAAGATCCATTCCCAGCCTGGGGTAAGATGGGATCTATTCCCTGGTGGTGAAGCTGAGGGCAGACTGAGGACTGTCATGGACTTCTTCGGCAACGTTCAGGAAGTTGAAGTTGAAGCCGGCAGCAGTGTGAATGACACTGAGCATTCGGTCAAGGAAGATCTTGTGGCAATTGCCAAGTTGGTAGAACAATGGAAAGAGATGGAGAAAGAACACATGGAATATGCCACTAGCCCCTCTTCCGTCGGCCAAAAAAAGCCTACCTTGCCGTCACAAACAGGTTCCCCTATTCTTAAACTGGCTGGACCGATGAAAATTCGTGACGCCGATGATTGGAGCAAACGAGTCATTGGTTTATCACTCTTGTTTGGGATAGGGGGCGTATGGTTTGCTGGGTCTCTTCGGAGAAGGTCATAACAGGCACTAAAAATTTCCACTTCTCTATTTTGTAATGCGTTTTCTTTTCACTCAGGCCTAGATGATATCCCCTTTAAATTGGTAATACAAGATTCGGTCCCAGCGCTTGGTCAGTATCACTACCTTGCAGAGTTATGCACATCAAGATCTATTTAACCATCATTTGAAAGAATATGCCGTTCATTACTCGCTTGCTTATCATGAGCCCCGTATGATTTAGATCAGTATATACATCAAGGGTCAACATAAATTTCCAAAAAAAGAAAGAAAAGAAAAGAACAAAGTTCGAACGTAGCAAAACCAGAACGGGGTGCAAGGGGCGAGCATAGGTAAAAAATACAACAGAGCGAAAAGAGTGTAACTGGAAGGACCAGTTTGATCGAAGTACTAGAGACGAACGTCATCCCAGTTGAGATTTCATAAAATGTCAAAGGAAGAAAAACGAAAATTGGCGAAGGCAACAAACGGAAAGAACGTGAAAATAAAGGGGAGAGGGGGAATAAGATGCTTTTCAAAAACGCTCCAACGCAGCAAATGAAATAAACAGAAAACAGTTGCAAGGGATGCAGTATAGGTAAAAAGTGAATTAAGAGCACAGTGAGGTTGGTATCATCCAACCACACTCCTGAAGCTAAGGGCCTCAAGAAATGCCCCGAGATCCTCTTTTTGTACTTCAACAACGCAATGCTCGAAGCTGTCTATTCGTACTCTCGCGTTGGTCTCATGAACAACCTCTTGAAATGCAATGCCGAAACGATTTCGTACTAGGTTCTTGCTGCTGAAGCTGTCCAGGTCTGGCTCTGACTCTGAGTCGGATTCCGTATCTGATTCGGAGGATTCTTCCTCTTCAGCCAGCTCGTCGTCATCATCTTGCATCTCTTCTCTTCTTTTGGCTCGTCGTTCTTCTCTCTCGGCCTTTTTCTTTTCTCGTGTTTCTTTCTTCTTCCGTTGTTCTTCGCGTCGTTTGGCCATAGCTGCAAAATCAATGACACCACCCCCTCCGCCTGTTCCGACTACAACATAGACGTTTCGGTCTTCATCCAGGCCAGCAAGAACCAGTGGCGTGCCTGCTGCTCGTCTTTTCCCAATCTTCATCCCAGTCCCTTTTTCCTTCTCCTGTATACGGACAGCCTCGCCGATCCACAGTGCCAGCTTTGTAAGTGCACCTGGGTTTGTAAAGAGCTTCACATCAGGCCCCTCCTTCACCACAGCGATGCGAAAAGCACGAAGATGGCGAATTTGATGTTTAGAAAGAAGAGCAGTTCCCGTTCGTAAGATTGCTCGGTGGAGGTGTTGAGCTAAGGGGATTGCTGCGAGGAGTTGCGTAGGTGAGTCTGAAGTAGGAGCCAGGGCATCATATGCACTCCAAAACCGAGAGAGCACATTTGCACTATCGGTTCCCAACTTGGCCGCCTGAGTCGCACCAGCCAACACTTCACTGGAATGAGAAGGAAAGTTCTGGGAAACAGTTGTAGAAGGACCTAAGGAGCCCACCTCGAGTATAGACCCCAGTATTACGCCAATATCGGTAGCGGATAGACAGGCCTTCCATCCCCAGCAACGAGCAAAACCCCATCCTTCACGCGACCCTGAATGTCCACCAGAAGACGCAGGAGGGACCAGCCCTTCCATGCCGTACATGGGAGCATATTGTAGCATCTTCTGGCGTAAATCACGTTTCAAGTCCATATCCATATGTGTATAATTTTGTTGGCACTGGGTTAAGCTGACACCCATTTTTGCCAACAGCTTTCGTAGCCGTTTTCGTCCGGTTTCATTCCAAACATGCAGCCGAGGGGCAAGATATGGACTATGCAGCATGCTGTCGTAGAGTGACCAGTGCCGCAATAACAAGAGACGCGGTTCTGGGGAGAGTAGAATAGAGGTGTCAGTTGGTGACCGCGCGTTCGTAGGTATAACCCCATTCAGTTCGCTTCTTAGTGCCTCTCGTCCAGCCTCGTTGTCATCTGGAGGGTTTAGACGCCGAACTTCATCTCGTAATATCTGTCGGATGCGTTCTCCTCTTTGCCCGCCCCATCCAGCTGAGCCTCCTGATTCGGAAGAATCTGATATGCCCACACCGGACATCGTTCGTCCAGAGAGTTCCAGACTTGAAACGCCAACAATTGCAAGCCATAACAGGTCATTATCGTCACGACCAAGCTCTGATGCGAGAGAATACAGTAAGGATGAAATAGGCTCGGAATATGAGGTGCCAAGGGAATAGTAGGCTTGAAGAACAGATTCATGTTTTCGTTTGAGTCGGATTAAGCGTTTTCGTAGTGTGCGTGTCGAAGGTTCTTTGGGTAAGATGAGAGATGGAGAATCGGAAACTGGTGAGCCGGATCGAGACGATTGGGAGGAATCGTGTCTTCTCTCTCTCAGTCTTAGGGGTGAAGCAATTGAAGACCCCTATTAAAGTGTTAGTAGACCAGCTTAAGCAAGTGGTGCAGAGAACTTACCGAATTACTCCTCCGCCGTTGGGCTGGGCGACCATCTTCATCTTCAGATGCAGCGATATCACCGTCATACCGGCCCGACCAAGATTTCCTCTTCTTTCCCTGTGCTTGTACCTCCTCATCTGATGTGGCATCATCATCGTCATCACTATCTTCCTCGCCAACTTCAGGGAGAGTCTCGAGAGTATAGTAGGCTTCACGTTCAGCCGCAAGTTCCTCGTCAATATCACCATCATCAAAGGCGATAATGCCTCCCTTGCCCGGTCTGTACCTATCAGTCAAGCGGCCCCTATCTACTCCATCAACGCTAGCTATAGCATGGGTATCAGATCCTCTCGGCGTGGCCGGTTCACCCATTCCTCCAAAGACGTTTGTCAAATTCCACGGTCTTCGCGCGTCGATGACCCAAACTTCGATTCCTCCCATGTTCCCCGGCTCATCCTTATTCACATCTAGACCCAATGTCTCATACATATCAACCAGGCCACCCACGCCTAAGCACACCACAACCCCTCCACTTCCACCGTTCGATGTATGCATTGGGTGCACGAGTTCCGCGCCAGCTTGAGAAAGGTCGCCATATCCGGCAATAGGCTGTATTTTGTGAGGTATATAGTCCCTTTTCAGTAGCGCTGTGAGGATTCGACAGGCACATAGAGCATCTGGTTCCAACGCCACGAGGATTAAAACCGGAGGAGATAATGGATTATGCGACCTGAGCAGCTGCTGGTAGAGGTGAGAAATGAGGCTCCGAGGGAGATACATTGCAAGTTAGTGCACGAAAAGGGTCTTCGTCTGTATAACAGCGTGCTCTCGGTGCATCTCCTCCTATCGAGCCTGGGTGCGGTGGTTGACGTCGACGGTGTGGTGTGTATGTACGTCTCTCTCTCTCTCTCTCTCTCGACTTGAGATCCAAACTAAACGCGACTGCCCAGGCACAAAGTGTTTTGCACCGCGTCAAACGCTAAAAGGGAGCTTTAAGGTTTCGTAATTACGTTACGGTTAACTAAACTTAGTCATCCATATGTATTAATTAGTCATGTATGCTTATATAATATGATTACGGGACGGGCCGAGAGCCGAACCTCGGCTTAGGTACTCTCTTCAGGCAAGATACATCAGTGCCTATACTTAGGCATTACATAGATTCGAGGGCCTCGGGTAGGCTAGATAGACGCGGGGCTTACTCGGGCCAATGTGGATTTGGCAAAGATTTGATAGTGGTATTATTAGAATGTAAGTTGTTCTCTTATAATACAGATAGCTCCTGGATGCTCGACGAAACGTTTGTCCTTCCATTCCCGCTACAAGTATTGCCAACGCATCGCCACGGTCTATATAATTAATGAACACAAAATATACCTCTTAGACACCTTCTTCATCATTTCGTACCCTTGGCCAGGGTGTTTTATTTACTTTTCACCGGCTGGTGCTTTTGCTCAGGTTCCCATTTCAAAATTGAGTATTCAATATCCCAAGATCCTATTATGACTTTCGAGCGGATTTGTTCCTTGAATCCATAGCGTTTATACAGACTATATGCCGCAGTTGAGGATTCAACCCATAGCGGGAGCATCATTTGCTTGGATAGCTGGATTCCCCAGTTTACCAGAGAGCCGCCAATCCCTTTGTGCTGGTGTTCTGGTGAAACGAAGAGAATCGAGAGTTCTACATTCGCAAGTTAGGCAGAGTTTATAAATAAAGATATATCTAGACTTACGAATGTGTGGCTCTTTAATAAACCTCATTTTTCTATCCATCACATCATGGATAACAGTAACTGCAATCTGTCGTTCTTCCGGGTCATCCAACCATTTGAAACTTTCAGGCTCCAGATCGGTTCGCTTTAAGTCTTCAGCAGAATAGTTTGGATTGAGTCTGTAAAGCGCAGCTCCCAGAATTGCTGGGCTGTTTCCGATTCCATTGCCATTCCCATTTACACCACCATTTCCGTTGCTTTTTGCGTGGCTGCTCGGGACCTCATCTGCATCAATGACCTTCAACCACAGAGCACCGCCCCAGATTTCTGGCTCGTGGCAAGTGTATTTCTTTTTACACCGCTCTCGATTTAGAGGGGTATCTTTTCCATTGACGAATTGGCAGAATTGCTCGGACGCAAAGGCTCTGAATTGGACCTCAACAAGTTGGTCCCAGTCTGCATCAGTGACTCGGGTAATAACCAAACGAACCATAATTCACAAAAAATACGTCCTTGTTAAACAATCCTAAATCGATTCAAGTGGGCACCTCTTCTTAATTAGTTAGTTAAACATCAAATGCTGGTAGGATATGGTATCGGATTCTAAGTTCAGGCAAGCCGAGTTTTTCTCTTGCTCGCTGTCAAATTTGCCATAGGCGGTGACTGATAACCATGCAAGTCTAAACCACAGAGGGAGATAATCTTACTTTATCCTTGATTATGTCTAATCGAAGTCAGCTCTTTGTAGGATGTCTGGGTTGTGGTTGGAATAAGGGGCTGTAAAGTTATGAAAGTTAAGAGGGAAAAAATGGCGTCGGCCCGTCGAAGCTAAACTAGTTAACTAACTTCCTGTTAGCTAATTTTAGTAATCTCCGCTTAACTCCCTGCATGTACAATTTACGGCCAAAGAAATGACGGATTCTTAAGATGACTAGTAAAGAGGACACCTATGTGAGCATAGAGTCTGATGCAGAAGTGTGGGTGTGGCTGCCTGAGAGGTAAGGCTATCTCGCGTATACTATTTACGTAACGATGGATAGTCAATTGGTATTTCAACCTATCCATGAGGGCTCTATTATTATTTCTGCATATCCAAAGCATCGCCATGCATGTATTCAACATGGGACCTGGCAAAGGGTACCATGTCTCCCAAGCTGTCGGGTGATTGCTTGAAATTATTTCGGCTTAACTTCCTGTTTAGGAGAAAGATGTATGGGGGGCCCTAAGTGTATCTTGTCGCTTATGATTGCCATCTACCCAAAGGCATCTCAAATTCAAGTCTAAACAATGCGCGCCCGGCGTTGATTACATCATGCCATAATTTGAAGTAACCTTACAGAGTACTCTACAGAAACACTCGAGATCCTACTCCTGATACCGACTCCGTCATCTCATGGTACCCCCTACCGCATACAGATCATGCCGGATGCGTATTTTCATAATTGCTCATCTCAAAACTTTCATGTTCAACTGTCCAACCCCGAGTCTCCCGGATTATCATCTGCTGTGACTCGTGACTTGCAATCGAGGGAGCTTCCCCGCGGTTGAGGGTATGCGATAAACTTCTTGTTCCGGAGGCATCATTCCGGAAATCCGCCTGGGAAGTGCCTATAATCTTCCCAAACTTGTTGGGAAAGTTAGGGCCAGTCTTGGAACTCGACCCAGAATTGTATGGAGGGTACCTGCTGCTCCTTTTGTGGCTACCCTGGCCCCATCCAGTGTTGAAGGCAATGAAAAATGGCTTTAGACAGGGTATTGTGGCTGCCATTATACTGTAATGTAAGAGTATTTCCGTCCATATGACGTATGGCACCATTGAAATGGTTGGGTCGCGTAGATCTACTATGCCATCTATTGTTGTGAGTCGAAATATAGAGAATCCTACCACGCTAATTTCGAGAGACACCAACAGTTAACCTTAGAAAGATTTATTCAATTGCGGTTGACACTTACGGGAGTCTGCAGGCAAAAGCGCCCACTATAACGACTTTTCGGCTCATCGCCATCTGCAATCCCCAGATGAGGTATACCAACATTCCAAACATCATGAGCTCTGATAAAACATCAAACGCGGTGATAAGCTTCCAACGTAATTCCTGAATATCGGAGAGCGCTGTTAGCACAATATGACACTGGGAATATTTAGGACAGCAGTTTACACTAACGATATGATGGCACCTATCGCTTACTATCCAGGGTTTTGTAATGTCACATTTTATGGACATGGCGATTGTAGCAGCAATTCCCCATAGCCCTATAAAAAGTGCAATTGCGGCACACCCACGCTTATATAGAGTGTCACGCCCCAACCTGTATAGGAGCAACCCAACGGCGGCTTTGGCACATGAATACGCCAAAATGAAGAGTATATCGCTGATATAGAGAGTCTGGTAGATGGAATCAGCTTCATGTTTCATTGTAACTGTTAGAGAATAATAGATTGAGGTAAAGGTTATACCTGTTCAGCGGCATTTACGTCAGTTGGGCGTAAGTGTTCTTTCGATTTCCCTACCCCCTGGCTGACTGCTTTCAGTAACACACCGACATGAACAATGCCTAATGTCTATAGTATTTTAACTAGAATTAGTCAGGCCAGGCCAGAAGAGGTCAGAAGTAAGAATAACATACTGATCCTATCCCTGCCACCAAATCATCCAGTCCAAAAGGTCCATTGATATCTGAGCGGATGTATATCCGGATGAAGAAGCACAGCACCATCCACGACATCAGAAGTGTTGAGACAATAACAATATGTCCACTTTGGTCGGTATCAGTGACATGGTAGGCGCGGTGACCATCTGGCACGCTAGATGGGTTCTCCATCAAGTTGTCGGTTCGTAATCATCAATAAACAAAGGAACATTGATTCTCAAGCCCGGGAATGCTGCGCAAATGTTGGACTTGGACGTCCGAAATATTGTCCCATAGCATGAAGTTATACTCTGGAGATTTCCAAACAAGCGATGAAACGCCAACCGATGCCACCAAACTCTGGTTATCAGAAAGAGCAATATGAGAGACTCCATAAAAGAGGCGCACTGGTAAAATGCATTACTCTGTATATATGATCTGTAAATCCAAGTCACTAGCGGGTACCACGGGCGAATAGGAGCAGTGTAAAGGTTCCGTAACAAATGCAGACTTCTTGTTCGGGGATGCAGGGACTTCATGGCAAGATGAAGATACAAAAAGTCGGCCAGAAGGAGCAACCACTCGCGGTAATTTTTCGAAAGCGCAGACGTTCAGCTATTCCCAGTGCTCTGGTCCGGGCAGAGTTCTAATGAAGAAAAAAAAAAAAAAAAAATCCCTTGTACGCCTTGATTTTAGTCCCTTGCCCAGTGCATATCGGTGTTCGGGAGACAATTAAATTGAAGAATGTCATAAAAAATATGCTCATGCCAGAGCACTAGGGCTAGGGGCCGGTTGTGAATATGCGCTCCACCAACATCAGAAATGAACGATCACATCAGAGGTGCTTGAAACCAGCACACATGAATCGGGGAAGACAAGGGCAGTGAGTCTAGTGGATTCGTCGAGATAACGCATATTCAGAGATGCCTTGTTAATTGGAGCGCAGGGCAACGTCGGAAAAGATCCTGTCCGTGCTACAAGGCACCGGGGAGTTGAGACCCTACATTAACACAGTGTTATGCATGTATGTGCCCAGGGAACAATGCCTTACGTTGCACACTGGAAGGGAGTATGACAGAGTATGGTAACAAGGGCCCAACAGGGGGGAAAGATGGCCATTCAAAGGGTCGTGGACAAGAAGCTGACCTTTCCGTGTGGTACCAGGCGAATGTGTAATTCTGTTATGGTCCATCGGGTAATCACGATATTAGGCGTAACAATCATCGCCCCTGGCACCAAGGGAATTCCAATTGAAAGCGTTGGCTGGAGATAACTAGTTACCCGATAGTTCTGGTTCTGACTTGCTTGGGAGAAGATGGCGCGACGGATTGGCGTTTTTTGTTTGCCATCAGACAAAGAAAGACGATCAACAAAGCTGGATGGCTTGTGACCAAAGTCAGGAGCATTGAGCCGAAACCTAAATAAACCGTTATTTAAGCTCAAGATATACATGTAAGTAGACAGAGATGGAGTTGCTCGGCCGTACTTACGCGGGCCTCACGAAGGGGTCAGGCCAGAAGTTTGGCCAGTTAATAGGGTGGAAATAGGGCCATTGATTCTCTAGCGGGAGCTCTGCTTTCCCATCTGGTGCAGATAACAGACGGTTACGACGCATATATCGCCTTCATAGCAGGGAAGTTGAAAAATTCAGCCTGAGCGTTCCGGGACAGCTTGCGGATTCCGGGCGCCGCAGTCCTGTCAGTAACGATGGCGTCTTTCATTGGCAGGCCGTCCTCGTAACGAATTGGAGATCCTGGTAATTAGTTAGTGAATTAAACCAACGATAGTACACAGATAGATACTGGTGGATCGTTACATAGTGACATGCCTGGCAACAAGGCCCCTAGTTATAGTCCTCCGCTGGTATAGCACCGGGCCAGCAAGCAAGACTCTGCGCAGCCTGCAAAAGCTCCTCAAGCTTTTCTTTCAGCCAAAGCTTCTGGCCCCGGCTCAGCCGTTCATTGGCACAGACTGACGCCGTGTCTCTGGGCGAGTGAGACCGCAGATGTTGGTTGCAGTGGAACATGCCCTGCATGGCCTTGATATACCCGGTCCTTTGCTGGCGGCATGTCTTCCCCGGTTTGTCTGATTGTTGCCATTGTATCCTTGCTGGATTTTGATACTCGGGGTCACCGTAACGCCATGGGTGTGGTTATCGTTATCCTGCCTGGGCCCCTTGCGAGCAGGAACCTGTATGTGAAGCTGCATAGCTGCATGTATGTATGTATATACCCAGACCATCCAGCGAGACCGCTGCCCCGGAGACCCAGCAGAGAGCTCTCCGTCTTCCCTGCCCAGCCCAGAAGGGAGAACATGTCCGTTTGCTCTGGAGGGCCCCCCCGGTGCTCAAAACGATGCCCTCCACACAGATATCCCGCGTGTCGTTTCGTCCGGCATCTGTACGGCGGGCGGGCTTTGTGCGAGGTTCCCGCAGCGCCCTCCTGGCCTCCGTCTTAAAGGACGGCCGCCCCCAGGCCCTCAGTCTTGCTCCCGCTCCTGCTCCTGCCTGTCACCCCTCAGCAGTGTCGAGCAGGCCATCGCCATGGGATTCAAGTCGGAGATCAAGCATGACCAGTCCTCAGAGGCCAACAGCCCAGCGGTCGAGGAGGCCGGCGAGAGCCTCTCCTCGATGCGCGGCGGAACGCTCCAGGACAAGCGCGACATGTATCGAATCGGCAACAGTCAGGAGTTGAACGTAGGCGACTCTCCTTCGCTGTCTTCCTTGGATATAACTAGCTGGCTGATTGTCTCCCCTGTCTCCCCGTAGAGGAACTTTCGATTCGTCTCGGTCTTGGGATTCGCTGCTGTGCTGATGTGTACATGGGAGGTTGTCATGATGTACGTCCAACAACACTACGAGAGGACGGGGAAATGCACAAAAATACGGGATTGTGAGAAGCTGATGTCTGGATACCAGAGCGAGCACTACTGGTCTAGTGAATGGAGGACTGAGCGGCATGATCTATACCTACATCGGGGGCCTGTTTGGCTTCTCGTTTGTGATTCTGTCCATGGCCGAGATGGCGTCGATGTGAGTCTTCAACGAGCCTGTACCCACGCCAGGCCGCAGGTAGAGGGCCATGCTCACCATATACTCGCTTCTGCAGGGCTCCGACGTCTGGAGGACAGTACCATTGGGTCTCTGAATTCGCGCCGGCCAGCAGCCAGAGGTTCCTGAGCTATGTGACCGGCTGGGTTTGTGTGCTAGGCTGGCATACGGGCATCGCGGGCTGCTCCTACACAGTTGCGAACATGCTCGTCGGCCTTATTGCAATAAATAACCCGGGCTATCAGCCTGAACGGTGGCATGGCACTCTGCTGATTATTGCGATAGCCCTCATGGCCATAATCTTCAATACCTTCTTTGCGCAGAAGCTGCCTTTCATCGAGGGGGTCATCCTCCTCGTCCATGTGTTCGGATTCTTCGCGGTCCTGATCCCTCTCTGGGTCCTGGCTCCCTTGAATTCAGCTGAGGAAGTCTTCCTGAATGTGGTCGATAGGGGGGGATGGGGAAACAATGGCCTCGCCTGTCTTGTCGGATTAGGAGCTCCCATATATGCTCTTATTGGTATTGAACATATTCCCTTGAACTGGCATGCAAATCACTAACCTGGCCTGGATTTATAGGGCCTGATTCCGCTGTTCATATGTGTACGCCTTCTCTTCTTACCTTGTGTTCACACCATTGAAACAACCAACTCAGTTCTACTGACTTCCTGGCATTAGCCGAAGAAATCAAGGATGCTTCCCGAGTATTGCCCCTGAGCATGCTTTGGACCCTCATTTTGAACGGAACCACCGGTTTGATTATGCTCATCACATACGCCTTTTGTGTGTATGATATCGATGCAGTCCTCAAAGACCAGACCGGCTTCCCCTTTATTTCCGTCTTCTTGCATGCCACCCAGTCTGTTAGGGCAACAACAGCAATGACATCCCTCATACTGGTCCTTCAGGCCTGTTCAGCCATCAGCAATGTTGCCACTACTTCCCGCCAGCTCTATGCATTCGCCCGTGACGGTGGCATTCCTTTCCCTTCATTTTTTGCCAAGGTAAGTAGTTATAGCTTCACCCTCCCGTGGCATCCAAATGCGGATACGAAGCTCTATATATCACCGCACTGTTGACCATACCTATCATGTAGATTGATAAACGCTTCGTCGTCCCTCTCAACTCTCTCTGCGTCAGTTTCTTCATCGTCTGCCTGCTATCCCTGATAAACATCGGGTCAACAGTTGCGTTCCAAGCCATCATATCCCTTGGTACTGCCTCACTTCTGTCGTCGTACATTATCTCCATCTCCTGTGTTCGCCTCAGGCGCTGGCGCGGCGAGCCACTTCCACCAGCTAGATGGAGTATGGGCCGCTGGTCCAGCACAGTTGAGACCATAGCGATCCTCTTCCTTCTCATCGCCTTTAGTTTCTCATTCTTCCCGCTTGTCAGCCAAGTTGATGTGACAACTATGAATTGGAGCTGTGCCATTTTCGGAGGAGTGGTCCTGTTCTCTCTAATCTATTATGTCCTGCATGCCAGACATGTCTACAAGGGACCGGTTACGCGAATAAGGCCGTGGGCAGAGGCAGCTCGAATCGAATAGTCGAGTATAAAGGCTGCTGCTCCTTCTATCACTCCTTTAGCCTCTTCCTTCGCGCAGATAACTAGTTAACCCCCGTGGCTTGGCCATTTCATTCATGGGCTTGAGGGGACTAGGCTTGCATGCACGAGATTTATGTAAATAAATGACCCCCCAAAATAATGATGGATGATCTCTTTGCTTGTACATGGAGAGTGGTGTTTAGCTGAATACACCGGCAGCTCACCCAGAATTTCAGCTTGCCAACGACTCGACTCATACTCTTATACGGGGCAATGGCCGAGTCCCTGGTTGACAGGGGGGCCACGATAGTCAAAATGAGAAGGATCAGGAGCGGCGTAGACTGAGGCTACGCCTTGCCTGATACTTGGTGATTGGCTACCTACGATCTGAGCTGTTGGCTTTTGACTCATACAGGTCCAGGGGTTGGTTCAATACAAAAAGCCTGAGGCCACGCAACGCTACCAGGCGTCCCCATAATCTTCCCCCAGAGCTTCAAATCTCGTTCACAAGCAAGCGTTCCAGGAATCATGGATTTCGATCTTCTATATGACAGGCCTGGGGGCGAACCGTACCTGACTATACCCGGACACCCAAACATCATCATCACTCCTCCACGGATCGAGGATGCCAGTGAGCTCATCGGTATCCTCAACAATTTTGAGGTAGCAATATGGCTGCAAGGCCCTCCATACCCATACCCCGTGGACGAGGCAAGGCAATACCTGAGGACAGTTAGCATACCCAGCTCGCTGCAGATTAGAAAGGAAATAGAGGCACACAACAGTAGTGTTAACGGAGGCGGACATGGAAACGAGACGACCAACCGTTTCCTGAGCGGCTGTCCAGTGAATTCAATTCGAGAGATTGACCCAGAAACTGGCAAGGAATCCCTTATAGGCTGTATAGGTATAAGGAGAGACGACTTCTACGAGTTCGAGGATGATGCAGTGCGGGAGGCAGAATTTAAAGCCAATGCTGCAAAGAAAGCTGGAGATGGAAGCATCATATGGGCGATGGGGAGTAAGTCTCTGCTTCATTATAAGCCCCCAGATAGGCCAAAAAATGGTTTGAGTTATGACTGATAAAAATGTTGCAGACTTCCTTAGCCCATCCCATAAAGGACGTGGTATCACGACAATGGCAGCTAAGACTGTAATTGACTGGGGCAAGAAGCATATGAACATCAAGGAAGTCCGAGCCTCGATGTTTGATGGGAATATTGCCAGCCAAAGGGTGTATGAGAAGATTGGTTTCAAGCATATGACTACCAGAAAAGACGCCCTGACGAGAGCTGAAATAAAAGGGGGTGGGAAAATAACGATCCACGTTCTTACTTCGAAAGAACAGTGACGGGTGGGATGCATTTTATTAGCTGTATCGTACATATGGGGAATCTATTGCTCAATGTAGTGCAAGAATTAAGCTCGGTTCGCTGATAATAAAAAATCTATGAGCAGAGATACACTGAATGAAACAAAATTTGATATAAAGGGTATATATATGTATGATGCGATTGATAATGCCTGAAAGATACATATTAGTAACGGGGTTTCTGGCTGCGTTCATATTCGGGGATTCTGACCTTGAAATTATCTGGAATTAAGCATCTGTACTTGAACTGGCTTAGTAGTTGGCTAAATACACTCAGGTATTAGATTTCTGGAAAACTGTGATTGCATATACGCTTGCTGGATATATGTGCCTGTATATATTATGGCCGTCAAAGTGACGGACGATACATGGCTTCAGGTCACGATAGGCAGTCTCCCGAAACTAGTCGTTGAGAACAACCTAACGTTCCACGAAATTGTAATTCAAGAGGCTCGTGGTTTTCTGAAAAAATGGCAGGCCGTATCCTTATACGGACATCGAAGTAGTGAAGACACCACTTGGAACGTACGTCCTTATGAAGGTAGGTTCCAAATGAAGTTCAAATTAGCTCCTTCGAAACCGGACCAAGCCTGGTTGCCGCCATCTCCAAAAGGTGCCATTGAAGGATCAAAGGGCAACGATAACCAGTCATCGGCACTGATGTCATTTAACGAAGAGATCGGATCCTCAAAGACAGGATTATTAGAAACATCCATGGAGGAATTCATAGGAGCAGAGCCAATTCCTCCGGGAGAGTACTGCTGTACTTGAGCTTGCTGTAGAGGATGGGGCAATTGCTGCTGCTGCTGTTGCTGCTGTGGTTGTTGTGGCGATGCTTGTAGACCCTGGGTTGCAGGCGAAGTATTCTGGGCCTTTGGCAAGGGAGTAACAGAAGAAGGGCGAGTTGTTGACCGGCTGACTTTTGGATTCTTATTTGACAGCACAAAGCTCCTTCGTAGTCGTGAGAGCAGAGAGTCTAGGAGTGTTGCATATCGGGAGGCTAGATGGATGTCGTCTAGCGAACTCGATCGTAGAGCCTGGATACTCTTTGTCAAAATATCAAGAGACTCTTGAAGTTTGGCATTACGGACGCCTAAACTTAGGGCTTTGAGAAGGAATATAGACGAGCTTGTGATGCGCAGGAATATTCTGACTGGCGAGAATCGAAGAGCGCCGTTTTCAGCGAGCGTGGTGACTTTCTGTAATAAGCTGCATGAGCCGTCAATCACCTCTTGTATGAATTCATAATCAATTTCGTCCATGTTTGCCTGGCGAACGTCATCCATAACAACGTCGGGGTCTGATTCATTGAGTACACGCTCCACCACCGCTTGCATTCCGATGGAGTTGGTGTAGACTCTAACAAACTGGTACTCAATGAATATCATGTCACCGAAAGGCCGTGAAAGGTCTATTAATATGATTGTTAGCGGGGCAAGGATGATATGAAGTGCGCCACACTTACGTTTAGAGTCCAGATGCTTCTGCCGCCATTGAGATAGCAATGGGCGGAAGTGATCTAGAAGCCCAATATACCGACCACTATGCAACTGTTGTCGTGTGAATGTTGCAGAGGGAAAGAACATATCCGTAACGGATTTTGCCAATTTCGTCAACTCGATCCACGAGTTCATAAAAGTCTGCCACTCGTCAATACCAGTATTGAGCGACGACGGGGCAACTATGGAGTGGTTCAGGCTTTGCGGCATTAGGGACATGCACCCCAGCCTAGATGCCAGCTGGTTGATGAACACGTAAAGCAGCTGGCGTATACGATGGCGAGGGAAATTCATGGTTTCTTCAACCGGGAAACCCTGGAGTTCTCCTTCGGGGCTCGATATAAGGCTTTTAGCTCGTGAATCGTCCGTATCGAAGATTCCAAGTTCATGTGCTAGAGTTAGGCCAGAGCCAAGCAACATCCATGACATTCGATCGGAACGGCGTGCAGGCTCAATGACGTCCTCCAGCCATCTGCTCGATGCAGACACAGAGGAGTCCGGACTTGTCGAGTCATGGTGTTCTGGAGTATTGTCCATCATCAAATCTGAGTCCCATCCGTCACTCTCGGGTGGGAAATGTAGAGACCGGGGATGCCATTCTGACATTACTAACAGGGCCTCGATGGTCCCAACAGTGCGAGTCTTGGCCTTGGAGCCTTTCTCCTGACCGAGCATTACGCGCATAATCAAATGTTGGCAGTGCTGCCAGAGCCTTTGATGGATGAAGAAGCCTCGGGACGCTCCGCCCACGCCGGGTAGAGTATGGTATCGCGATGAAATCATGAGAATAGTGCAGCATAGAACAGGCTCCTGGGAGATAAGCCAGTAGTGATTTCGATGATGGGAGTAAAAATGTGAAAGAATGGGAGATAGAGGAGCCATATTCTTGAAGAACCTGAGAACAGTTAGTCAGATAGTCATGGGCAAAATAGGATTGCAGAGCAGGGTAATGACATACATATCAACATAAGTCACTGCCTCTCGGGATGAGAACCAGCCCATCTTAACAAAACGGCACTGATCCCAAACAGCCAATACATCTGGTTCGACGTGAGAGAGCTGCGTTGGGTCCGATGTGGGGGAACCTCCATACGAGGTAGTTGATGTTGGCGTATCGTAGGTGCGGATTCCTGCATGAGACTGGGTCTTTTGATGTTGCGAGTAGGGACGTTCCTGTCCTGTACCTGTACCTGCAGTAGCACTACCGTTAACATCATCCCCAGCACCACCTTCTTTCGATACGGATGGCCGCCGGTCAGTATCGACATCAATCATTTCATTGTCCTGCTCCTGCGCAGCAGCCTGGAAGAGAATGTTCAATGCATCGTTCCCACTCGACACGACAGTTCGCATGACCGAAGTATGTAGGCCATGGGAACTACTTGACTGAGCACCAGCATGAAGCCGATCTGATGAGCTGCCTCGATATTCGCGTCTATGGACGTTATTCGTGGTGGAAGAGGTCAAGACAGGTGACAAACTGCCGGTGCTGCTCATGTTAGCCGGTGTAGCAGGTGCAGCGCGGCCAACAGGGTCAAAATGCATGCTTGTATGTCCGCTAGCTGTGCTGGTATTGGAATTGGGAGCGCCCCCAGCCGCACCAGGTATGTTGTGAGCATGATGCCCCGTCGAGGAGGGTGTGTCCCCAGCATTCGATACGGAATAGAGCGCGTCATGAACCGATTGGTTCACCTGGTTGGCTTCCTCCGTATCCGCATCAGCACCGGCTATTTGCCCTGCGCCGGCATTTGTAGCGTTGGTAGTGGTAGCGGCAGTGGTGGTGGAGAAAGGGGCTGACGTCTCTGGCGCGGATGTGTTCGTGGTGGTATCTATATATAGAAGATTCAAGATGAGCGTCAGTCAGATACTCCATAGATGTACGCAACACCATCCCCCAAACCCCAGCTGCACGACATTAAGATGTGCATTATGAGTCCCGCCTGTCCGCCCAACTCCCGCCGTTTATCCGCCCTCCGGCAGAAAAGAGAAAAAAGAAACAAAACAAAGCAAAAACAAAAACCTGGGCGGAACGGCGGAAGGCGGGGAGGAAGGCGGGGAGGAGTGGCAGTAAGCAGCAGCGGGTGTAATAATTACCCTTCTTCTTCTTGCGCGCCCAGGCCCGGTCCTCGCTGAACTGGCAGTTCCGCTGCTCTCTGCGACATCGCAGACACGGCGGGCCTGGCGGAATCCCGCGATCGTTGTTCCCGCCGAGCTCGCACTTCGCCTTGCGCTGGCGGCAGGACATGCAGGCCTTATACGTGCGCAGGAACTCTCTCCTGCTCGACGCCCGGCTCCATGTAGGCCGTTCGACCTCTGCACCCTCCATGCCTCACGTCTGGCCGTCCCGGCTCTCTCCCGACTCGCCTGCTGTGGTTCTCTCTCTCTCTCTCTCGCGTCCTATTTTTCGTCTGCCTTCCGTTTAAAGCTTCTTTTCTCGTCCGCTCGCTCGGGGTCGGCGTTCGTGCAGTTACGTGATGTGGTGTCGCCGTGCCTCAGCCCAGGTAACGACAGACATGGCGATGCTGGTGCTGGTGAGGTTGGCGATGCGAGGAGAGTCCAGTTGCTGACGCGCGCTAACCGGCCTCAAACGTCCCAGCGCTCCCCTTGGGCGGCTTTCCTTGCTACTTAGATCGGGGACTCACTCTGTGGGGGAAAACGGCCGCAAGACGCCAGCCGCGGCCTCGGCAAGGACAATCCCGCTGCTAGCCGAGCCAGTCAGACTCGGTCGCTTGGTCAGCAGCTTAGGTAATAGCCGAGATGTTATTAATATATGACAAAGCAGATTACTCAGCATGAAAATCCGGGGAAGCAGGCAGAAGGCTAAGAAGCAAGAAGTAGGAATATAGGCTGGATTAGAAGAGGTAAGTAGAAGGACGGGCAGCCTTGCAGCGCAAAGAAGAATATGTACAGTGAAAGAGAAGTTGGTTAAGAGGGGTCTAGTTGCGGACACGGATGGGGTGAGCCTCCGTGTTGAAGACAAACTTGTCCTTTCCACTACGGCTAATCTGCCAGTCGGCCTCTGCAGAAACAAGTTAGCCACGTTGAATCTGGTTATTGATTATTTATTAAGGGGGGGTTTCAAGGAAATAGCATACCATCAGAGAAAGCCAGGTAGGTGTACTTCAGAGTCTCGGCAAAGAAGAAGCTGGGTTGGCTGTCGGTCTTGGATCCGCCCTTGGCAGCGTTGACATCGCTGATGGAGGAGAAGCCGCTGTCCGTCTTGGTGGTCTCGCTGATGGCCACAAAGGCATCCCAGATCCATCGTTGATACTGTTTGGAGAGAGAGGGGAAGTTAGTCGAGACAACAATATATGAACCCACATGCATAGAATTACGAGTGTATATACCTTCTTGTCTCCAGTGACTCGGTAAGCGTAGTAGAAACTCTCGATGACCTCAGGCCGCAAAACATATCCAGAGCTGTTAATATAAAAGCCGGACTTGGTGAAGAAGGAAGCCTGGTCACTGGGGACGTTCTTCTCGTCCCAGCCGAAGGACTCAGGTCCGATCTTGGTCACTGTATTAGCATAAGTCTTGTGGCAACCGTCAACCAGCTTCAGTCCGAATCGGGTGAATTCAGGTCGGTTTAGCTCTCGTCCGCCGAGGATGAAGTTGCCTCCATCAAAACAAGCGAGGTGCTGGGAGCTCTTGACCAATGCTCCGTTTGCCCAGGCTCCAACAAATGTGGTGTCAGGGTGTAGCAAGGGGGAAGATTTCAAATGTTCAATTGTCGACTGGGCAGCCAGCACCCATCTAGATGTACATATTTATTAATACTGATTGGTTTAAAACGATATCGGATGCATGAATTCTTACCTGTCTTTGTATTTTCCAAACGCACTACGGTCGTAGACGTACATCTTGATTAGATACTCGTAAAAGGAGTCATCACCACCCTCCCAGCTGGCACTGGCACGCTCAAACTTGCCGGTCTGGATGTTGATGCTTCCTCCAACAAGACCGGGGAATACCTCGTTCGACTTGGGCTGGGGATTGAGCAAGTACTCCTCAGCTTTCTGGGCAAGCTTGCCGTACTCTTCCTTGTTGGTCAAGTCAGAGAGCCGTGTCCCTATACGGGCGAGTCAGTTGGACATGTGCCATGGGGATGTCACTTCGTATCAGATAGAATCTTACATTCAAGAACCAGCGTTCCGACCGTTGCAAGGCCGTTGCTGGTGGCGCCGTCCTACATTAAACCGTGTCAACCCAGCCACGTCCCATACCATGTCAGTCAACGACTTACAGTAGTCTGCTTAGGAATGTTCAGGGTATTTGAGGGGATGCCGGTGGTGGAGTTGAATGAGAATTTAAGGACATCCGCAAGCTCTACAGCCTTCTTGAGCAGGACATCGACTTTCTCGGGCTAGATAGAATAAAAGTCAGTAATTCTGAACCTTAAACCGCAGTTAATGATGCGTCTCCATAGCTAAACAACAGTTGGACCTACATCTGCATTCATAGCTCCGGAATTCTTCAACAAGTCGTAGCCAGATATCAAACCTCCTAGGTAGCGGATAGTTGTCTCAAACAAGCTGCAGAGATCGTCTGTCTTGCTGAAATCGATCTTGCTAATATGGTCCAGGATCTGGTTTACAACATCTGGCAATCCCATGATGATGGCAGTCGAAAGCGCATCAACTGGCGTGGCTCCCCAACCGTTCCTATCACATAATCATAAGCGAGGAGCGACAAATGGCAGTTGCTGTAGGTGATGTATGCGTATATAAAAAAAGGCAAAATAGGGTAATAGAATATCGTACAGTGGGTTGGATCCCTCGTTGGAGACTGGCCGGAGTTCGTCCATTGGATAAGCGTGGGTCATATAACCCTTCCACGCATGGTTGAATGCATCTTTGATAGCTTGCGGTTTGTCCTCGTCGGCAAGATCGGCGAGGGCCACGAATCGATGCTGGTTTTGATTCATGGTAGGCAGGGCGAGGGAGGTGAGGGCGAGCGAGGAAACGCCCAGGAGTGATAGTGACTTCATCTTTGGTTATGTCCGTATGCTCGGCGTCCAGTGGTATAATAAATGAGAGAACGAAAGGAAGAAGAAGATAGTAGGATCGCAAAAGAGGGACTTGACGATTATAATATATAGATGCAAAGAGGGAAAATAAGAAGAAAGCAACCCACTGTCTTGCTGACCATACGGGATATCAGGCTCAACAGCAGCAATCAGATATCATCCCCATCACACAACCGGGAGATGGAGAAGGGGAGAGAAAGCCGAGGAGGGCTCCTTAAACTCGAGATCCCTTGATCGACATGGAGCTCTTTTTCCTTCTCTCTTTTTCTTTTCTTCTTCTTCTGCTACTTTGCTTCTCCATCTTCTTCAAATCATAAAATAATAATCTTATGAGGGTCCCTTTGCTTTGGGCGCCTCCATATCCACCAACCCCCGGCAGGAACAGAGCTTCATCCTGGCTCGCTCCTCACCTGCCCATGCAAAGGTGAAAAAAAAGAAAAAGAAAAGCAGGGAGAGAATCCCTGGCCAACTAGCGTGTTCGCGGTGGAACTCCCAGATCTGCTTTCCATCACAGATATCACAGGTTGTTGGCTGTTAAACTAGTTGGTGTTAAGCTCCGCGCAGTCTGACCATCAGGAGATCTCAATTTCAGCCACTCTGGCAGTCATTTTTGGATGTGTATTCCATGTTTCTTTTCCCTTGCAGCGGTACATCGGAGCAGAAACAATGGTTTTGTTGCCCGTTCCACGAGGTGATATGTGTATATATTGTTCCGAGTGATGGTTGATGCAAGGCAAGGCATCCCGGGCGTGGTGCTCTCACAGAGTTGCCGGATATGTATCATATTCTATCTGCTGCCGTGCTGCCAGGGACGGGAGAGACTGGCGGGTACACTCTGTCCTCGAGTAAGTATCTCGATTACGGAGTACGGAGTACTGGCTCTCTCATCGTCCACCGGTCCTTTCTCACACCGAGCAGCTCGCGCCAGAGCTGGTAGGGCGTCGCACGAAACAGATATCAGACGACCTGGGGACGCCGGCCCAACGAAGCGGTTTGTTAGTTGCATCGACGGCCATCGTCACCCGCCGCTCATCTCGCCGGGGCTGGCTCCTGTGCCGATGTCACGGCCCCATAAGTTACGAGATGGAATCTTTGGTCTTGTTGTGCCTTTCTTTGCGTTTACCCTCCTTACCCCTGAAAGTGATCAGCAGCTAGGGGGGAGGACACGCTTAGACGAGTAACGAATTAACAGGCGGTTTTCTTTTTTTTCCTCCCTGTTGCCTGCCCGTCGATGGGCTGGCTGTTGAACCAAAGGACAGGACCAGCAAGTTATGTGCGACCTGGGGCCGGCTTGTCTGTTCCTGGTCCTTGACTCTGATGCTGCTGGCGAGCGAAGGGCGAGACCGGGACGTAACTTAGTCCGTGAGATAACCACCGTGTCTCGCTTTGCCACGAACTCTCCACGGCGACAGCATCTCTACCAGCGCCGGCGATGTGTATACTACTCCGTACTTACTTGCTGACCGACATCTGACCCCCACAAACGACCGCCAGCAAGCATGTTGCATGTCTCGTGATGGCGTGATGGCGTGAAGGCGGGATCCTCAGGGCCGTGTCTCTCGTCCTTGGGGTGGATCTAGTTAGTTGAATCCAACGCACACACAGAGTTGGTTATACTCCGTACATTCGAGCATCACCACCACCACCACCACCGGATGAGACGAAGTCGCCTGCCCCCCGACCTCTCGGCCATGAGGATGGAGAAGAGAAGATTATCAGATAACTAGTTTAACGTGCCCGGCATGGACCTTGACTCGCTGCAGCAAGGGTCAACAGACCCATTTTAGGCCCTCCACTAACTGCAGCACTGCTCTGGTCTTAAACCGCCTGATATACTTATATCGAGCAGGCCGGCAGCCTCACCAGAGTTTAGCGAGTTATGTATGCGGTCCTCCCTCCTGGGCTGCCTCTTCAGGCGAGTTGGCCTCTGTTTACCGCCTCCCTGTCAATGGCGAGATGAAATCATACTTGTACGGAGTCCAAGCAGACGGCTGTTCTCTTCCTCGGCCAGGTGCCGCCTGGAATCACATCTTCACCGTCAAACTTCTTTCGTCCCCTTTGTTCGTCCTTGCTCAGGCCGCGATGGTTATGTCGAGCCAGTGATCGCCAGTGATCACACGCTTGAAATCCATCCCTCGATTGTCAACGAAGCCACGCCTGGCCTCCACCGCTCTGCCGCTACTACCTACGACCATCATGGCTCCTTTGTTGACGGGAGCGTTATACATGCATGCATGCGTGCATAGGTAGTTACCCCGCTCATGTCCGGGGAATACTTGACATAGACGGCTGAGAACAGCGCAGTCGGTCAAAAAGAAAAAGGCGCTCTGCCGTCTTCCTACCAACTGCTTGGTACACTACAAAAGGACCTCGGCGGTGGGCCCCAGAGAGGGACAAGCAGTGCGGGGTGGGAAGCATATGCTTGTATACAGCAATTAAACATATGCATTTAGAAAGGCACGGCCTGGTCTCCGGATCCCGGTTGCGGACTTCCCTTCCCTTGCCCATACTTTAGGGCCCAGGCGGGAGGTCGACGGGGGGTGCAGACGGGTCTATCAAGTGACTATCATGTGCCGGGGGGCCTTGAGGTTAAGTATACACCTCTTTGTTGTTACCGTCTTTTTACATACTACTCTTATCTTATAGATCTATAGCAGAGGACTCTTTGCCCGGCTGTACGCCCAGTTCATGGAGGTAACGTGCCTTCGTGCAAAATGCAACTCCAGCTCTTCGACTAAATTCCTCTCACGGATCACCAGCGGGTCACACAAAAAAAGCTGGGGAATTGGGGAGAAACAGTCTAGGCGGCGGACGAGGGGCTTATACTTGTCAAACTGTCTGTCCAACCGGCAAGCCAAAGGGATACCCATCGCCATCCTGAAGTTTTGTGAGTTCTAACAACCGTCGAACAATCTATCATGTTGGCGACGGCTTCTTCGACCGTTTAAGCCTAAGTTGCCTAGTTATGCATGTCTCGGATTCAAACTCTTGGTTGATCTTTAGCTTATTGCTATCGATTGTATGGAGTAATTCTGATACACGGCTGAACATATTTCTTCTCAGCTAGAAGAGAACTATTCTTAATATTTCATATCACATCCTTCTGTCTAACAGATACCCCTTTATCGGCGCCAACGCCCGTTAGATTACGACCTATTTTATAGGTGGTATCGGATCAGTCACGCCTTACAGGTGGCAGTGAAGCCTTAACTAGTTATCTGGTGGCCGTATTTCAGGCAGCTATCGCCAGCCAGGATAGACCCCTTGGTTAACTCTCTTATCGATATGGACTCTTAATCCAATTTTTTATCAAGGATAGCAACTGCGCTATCAGGCACCGGTTTGACGTAATCACAAATGCATGAAGAAGATCCCCTGGGCTGAGATACATCTTTATTTTGATCATAGGGATGCCCCTTTGCCCTGTTATTTATTGCATCTACCCGTCGAGCTACGCCAACCCATATTCTCGTTCGTCTTTGCCGAATGATTATAAGGGGAGGTACGCGGCGTATTCTGTGCGTCATACCTCTTTGGCCGCAATACCCCCGAATAGCCAGCTTTTAGAGGAGGCAAGCGACCGTCTCTATCTAACGCTTCTATGCAGAATCTATTTCTGTGTGGGGGCTATATATATTGTGCTATAAAAGGGTCCATCCAGCCCTGGTATCCGGTGGTAGAAGTACGAAACTTTTTTGATAAAGCTCGACGTCGACGAGATTACCTGATTATCTTCGGGTAACCCAGGAACTAATTATGCGGTGGAAACGGCGGTACAAGGGAGATGGGCACGAATCAACTACCAGAGGCCCCAAATAGCAAGCTCACTGCAAATTAACTACCGATATATCCTGGCATATAGCATGTATATATATCTGTGTGTCGTTCTATCTGTATATCGATAATAACACTTTCTCGCTTCCTCCGCTTGGCGGCTAATTAAGGCCGGGCAAGTGCCGCAAAAGCTTAAGTTCCTTATCTTTCTCCTCTAACTAAATCTAATCTAAGTAACTAAAGGTTAACTACCCCACCGACGAAGTTTGCGTGGGAGTCATAACTACTATTAAACTACTGACGAGCTCCGGTTGTGCAAGTTCAACCACAGCAGAAGAAAAAGGGAGTCGGACGGCGGAAGAGAAGAGAACGAAATAGACGGTCGAGAGGCTTGCCTACCAGAAATCCTCCTTCTGAAGCCAACAGAGACCCTGCAACCGACTAAAGATGGCGCTGCCATTCCTGCTCTCCCATACACCCGAGTCGAGCTCCACGGAGGGCCTCAGCCTTAGGCAGATCTCGTACTTCGGCAGGGTTCTTATAAAGCCATCGAGCGTCGACTACGCTCTCTCCTTTGTCCGGGATAACTTCTCCTTGCTGGATGTCTGCATTGATGCGACAGCTTTCACGGATGTGGCAGACATCATCGACGTTCTCAACACTGGAGCAATCCTTGCCTTTGTAACGCTTGACCAGCTCCAGACGCTTTCAAGAGAGCAGAGTGTCCCTTCGTCACGAATAGTGGTGCTCGTATCATCTGCTTCTGAAGTGCTTGAATTGAAGAAGTGGGTGGCTGAAGATGCTGAGCGGAAAGAGATTGGCGTCAGTTGCACTTCGTCCGAGGCATTGGATACTGTTATATCCGAATTGTCAGACGACTCCTCCGTTAAGACAGTCTATAGGTCCAACGATGGCTCAACAAGTCAGGCGGCTCTCCTGACTAGCGAGCAGGAGGGTGTTACTAGCATTATTCCTTCTGCTATTCTGTCTGCAGAGAAAGAGGAGCTTTCACCTGCAAAGTTCCTGGTTGCTGGAGCTGTTCCAGATAGCAACACCGGGTTATATGCTACCACTGTCACAGATGAGCGTGGAATCTCGCTAGGACTTGTCTGGAGCAGTGACAAGAGCATTGCTGAAGCCATTAGGACCGGAACTGGGGTGTATCAGAGCCGGAAACGTGGACTTTGGTACAAAGGAGCCTCGAGTGGTGACACCCAGGAACTTGTCCGAATTGGCTTGGACTGTGACAATGATTGCCTTGTCTTCGTAGTTAGACAGAAAGGAAGAGGTCAGTCTGCTATTTTATGTTCTGTTCGAGCTTAAACTGATATTTAAGTGTATATATAGGCTTCTGTCATCTCGGAACTCCTAGCTGCTTTGGGGCATATAATGGCCTTTCCCGCCTACAGCATACCCTGCAAACTCGGAAAGAAAGTGCACCCCCTGGCTCATATACCTCTCGTCTATTCAATGACCCAAAATTGTTGGAAGCCAAGATAATGGAGGAAGCGGAAGAGTTATGTCAAGCGTCAAAAAAGGAAGAAGTTGCCTCCGAAGCTGCCGATTTGATTTACTTTGCTCTTACAAAGTGCATTTCTTCTGGCGTGTCTCTTGAAGATGTTGAGAGAAATCTTGACCTAAAGAGCCTAAAGGTGAAGAGAAGACAGGGGGATGCTAAACCTGCGTGGTCCGAGAAACTTGGCCTTGCCTCTACCAAGGGGGGTTCCGGAGAACCAGCCAAAGAGGATGCCAAACCCAAGCCTCCAGCTGCAGACGCGGATGGAAAAATCACAATGAAATGCTATTTCACTGCATCGACTCCACCAAAGGTCGTCCGAGAGGCTCTCCAAAGACCTTCCCAAAAATCCAACGATGCAGTTGTCAACCTCGTTCGCCCCATAATTCAAGATGTTCAGCAGAATGGAGATGCAGCAGTGCTCAAGTATACCCACAAATTTGAAAAGGCTACCTCCTTAACATCACCTGTGCTGCTTGCTCCTTTCCCTGAAGATTTGATGAAATTGTCTCCCGAGACTAAAGCCGCCATTGACGTCAGCTACGAAAATATCCGGCGCTTCCACGCCGCCCAGCAAGATGAAAAGCCACTATCTGTTGAAACCATGCCGGGAGTAGTCTGCTCACGCTTTGTCCGTCCCATCGAAAAGGTTGGCTTGTACATACCCGGAGGCACGGCTGTACTGCCTTCAACCGCACTTATGCTAGGCGTTCCTGCCATGGTTGCCGGATGCAAGAATATTGTATTTGCATCTCCGCCACGGCCCGATGGCAGTATCTCTCCAGAGATTGTATACATTGCCAAAAAGGTCGGAGCTGATAGCATTGTGCTTGCTGGTGGGGCCCAGGCTATCGCAGCCATGGCCTACGGCACCGAAAGCATCACCAAAGTAGACAAGATTCTCGGCCCAGGAAATCAGTTTGTAACAGCTGCCAAAATGTTCGTGTCAAACGATACTTCTGCCGGCGTGGGTATCGATATGCCCGCAGGACCTAGCGAGGTCCTCGTTATCGCTGATAAACACGCAAATCCTGCCTTTGTTGCGTCAGACTTGCTCAGCCAGGCAGAACACGGCGTTGATTCTCAGGTTATACTTATCGCGGTCGACTTGAACGAAGCTGAGCTCAAGGCCATTGAAGACGAACTTCACTCACAAGCTATGGCTCTACCACGAGTAGACATTGTTAGAGGCTCAATAGCCCACTCCGTGACCTTTGTTGTCAAAAATGTGGAGGAAGCCATGACTCTGAGCAACGAGTATGCCCCTGAGCATCTGATTCTCCAACTCAAGAATGCAGCAGATGTTGTTCCGCTTGTGCAAAATGCCGGAAGTGTCTTTATTGGTGAATGGACTCCTGAAAGTGTTGGTGACTACTCTGCTGGCGTCAACCACTCTCTACGTATGTATCATCGATTTTCACATCTGTTTCTAATGTCCACAACAGCTAATGATGTTTTTTTTTATAGCAACCTATGGATATGCAAAGCAGTACTCTGGAGTGAATCTTGCCTCCTTTGTAAAGCATATCACAAGCTCAAATCTGACAGCCGAAGGTTTGCGCAACGTATCCAGTGCTGTGATGCAGCTGGCATCCGTAGAAGGATTGGATGCCCATCGACGAGCGGTGTCTATTCGCATGGCTGCGATAGATGGCCAGTAAATTTTCAACATGGCCTCCTTTGATGTCATTAGAACGGTAGCGTAGGAATTGAGTAAGATAGTTTTTCCATGTTTTATCTGCGTATTGTTTTGTTTGCAGCTCCCGGGCAGCTCTGGTTGTTTTGCTCCCCAGTTCCTAGTCACTGGTATACTTTAATGCCAATATTAAATCATTACATCACTGCCTCTTCTAACCCCATTGAACGCCAGAAGGAAATTCGTAATCTCGTTATATAAGCGCAGAAGACGATTTGAGTAATTATTTTTTCCGCTCCCTGACCTTCCACTTGATGCCGTGTTTATTCACACCCCCTACAGATCTTGCCATCTTTGCCCTCTGTAGAGCCAACTCTTCCTCTGCAGCCGATATATCTGCATGCTGCTGTTTGAGGGTCGCAAGCTTCTTTAGCCGGGATTCGGCCGCTTTTTCCTTCATCCGCCGCGCAATAAAGAGCTCTTTTCTTGCTCGTTTCTCGGCTTCAACTTGCTTTTTTGGCATGGTCTTAGCCATTTGCTTCAATTCATCAATGGTCAGTTCTCTGGAGGCATCTTCATCGTCTTCTCCGTCATCTTCTTGCTCATCCCTGTTCGCCTTCTCTTGCTGCTGCTCTTCCGCCGAGTCGACAAAGATTAATTTCTTCCCGCCTAGACTCTCTGCTCGTTTTATTCCTTTCTGTAGATTTGCCTCTTCTTCGGTTTGCGCAAGCTGCCTCCGAACTCGTTCTCCTACGACCCGCAAATACCCTGCATCCTGTGTCTTCAACAGGCTCACAGTCGCATGGCTTAAGGACTTCGATTCTCTGGCCCCATGTTTCCCATGTGTTTGGGAGCTTTCTGACATCATTCCGTAGGCAAACTCGTCTGGATTACGGTTTCGAGCCTTCTCTCTCAGGCGTTGTAACTGGGCTTTCTTGAGATTGTAATCTTTGGCACGAAGGGAGTAGTCCTATATTGACACCATACCATTAGTCAATCAAGCTTATATTCGCCAGGCGACACAAATCTAGGGTTCTTATCACTTTATGCTTTTCTAGGAGACCCCATTTCTCACGGGCAGCTGGCTGTGCTCTTTCGCGATGCACACGCCGCTGCACAGCATTTCGCATGGACGACATGATGACCGTTCAAACCGTGGACCGGTAATTAAATGAGCTGAAGTCAAAATAACTTGATATCTGTTTGCCTTAGGGCTGGGAATAATATAAGAAACGGACGCTGAAGAGTCGAGGTCGTTTGAAGTTGTTGACAGCCAGATTTTTTGTTTGACGTTGGAAAAGTTTCTTGAGTGTAAAAAAAAAAAAAAAAAAAATTTAAAGTTTCCAACTCAAGAGCTTGAACCAACATCGTTGATACCGGCTGTATGAACGAAATATCGATGACAGCTTGAACATCTCCACGGCCAGTTCGTCAGCGGCCCTTCAATCAGCTTATATTGTAGTGGATGGGCTAGCTAGATATACCATTCTCTCCTACTTTGTCTACTTCTCTTGAAAACCCAGCAGCGATGGCCACCACTTCCGCCCCGTCGGCTACGGAAACCCCCCCGACACCAGCTCGTCGAAAGGTCGACCTTCGGAACCCTACGCCACTGTCTGCTACCCAGGAGGCAGAAGTGAAGCAGGCGTATTATAAAAAGGTCAGGGGGCTTTGTGATCCAGTAATAAAAGGTAAGTCTGCCCTTGGATTCTTTACGAGAGGCGTCCCGTTGTGCAGGCAACATTATGCGCGGGAGCAATATAACTAATGGGTTTATCTATTTTATGATAGAATTCGCAGCGTGCGCAGTCAACCGTACAGTTACCGCTACATGGGTTTGTCGAAAGCAGCGGCTTGCTATGAACGCCTGTATGGTTCTTCACGCCCGACCAGAGATAGAAGATTTGGCACGAGAAGAATGGTTCGCCGGTCGAGAGGAGAGAATAAGAGCTCGGGAAAGGGAAGCTCAGGAGACTGAAAAACGAAGGCAAGAAGTTATTGCCATGATGAAGAAGGACGACGAGAAACGGGCTGCAGCAAAAGCCACGAAGAGTTCATGAGAAGCTATGATAGACGTACGTTACCCCTTTGGACCGATTGTTCTATTTCAGCAACTACCAGGCGTTTCTTCGGGTTGGAGTCGGATTATATCCTTTTTCTGCTTAATTGTATTATATACTCGGATGCGATCTCTTGCAAGAGCAATCTCTCAAGCCATATACCCAGTTGCTGTCAAACTAGCAAGCTAGCACGCTATCCTTTTCTTTACTCTGGAAGAGTTACAGGAGTCAATATCTGGCTCGTAACCCTGTGCCATTTAGAAAGCATAATGATTAGATATTGTACAAAATAAAACCCATAGATCTCCGCTAAGAAACCTCCTTTTGCAACATGCCGTTTTTTAAAAACCCCCCTCCAATACGCCGGCCGATATTAGATTAGCTGTTCTTTCTTTGGTTAGCAACGCCGTGGTTAATTATTGTATTTCGACGTTCGGTCCAATAGGAGGCGGAATCAGACATCCGTCATGGTCTTGTCTTCGTCCTTATTGGCATCTGCGGTGGAAGTATGGCCAAAGACGTCTTCCATCCGCCCGTCTTCGTCATCTTCCTCTTCCCTCTCTTCTGCATCTTTCTCAGCAGGCGCACCAGCACCAGCAGCTTGCGTATCGACTTCCATCTCCTCTTCACCTTCACTCTCCCATTCTCCTTTCATGTCCCACCCTACTCCTGTCAGACAGAACCGTTCTGGTGGCAACCGTATACCGCCCATCATGGTTTCCTGTCCCGACGCTGTAGCGCTACTTGACGCTCCCTCTTGTCCCCTCGAGACACCAGGTAGCATAATCCGATTCCTTTCCGCCGCAAGGTCCATTAAAAATTCCTTGGGCAGGCCTGGCTGAAATTGATAATGTAACCGAGAAGCAATGCTCATTCGCAGTGCACCTAAACTAACGCCATTGCTGCCATCTTGATGCGCATGGGCTCGACCACCACCCTCTTTCTGTAGTTCTCCTGGATAGCCCTCGGTCGCTAGATATACTGCATCTTGTAAAGTGCTTGAGGTGTATCTGTATGCAAAATCGAGAAGCTGGAGCGGGACTCGTTCCTGGTAGGAAGTGACTCCAAGAGAGGCCAATAACATGTGAATTAATCGGGCATCTCTGGGCCTTCTGCTTTTACCGCTATCTTGTAGGGAGGTAGAAGGTATTTGAGCTGGGGTGGTACTTGCAGGCGCAGCTGGGTTTGATGATGGTAGAGGCTCTGCTGGAGGCGTAATTGGCTGTGTTGAAGGAGCGGATGGTCCCGCAATAGGAGTCGCATTAGGCCTGGGTGAAGCCATCTCGTATTATTATGATAAATTGAGGGCTTGAGAAAATCCGGGGCAACTCTGTGGAGGTCTAGTTAGATGACAGCCCTGAGCGCATGTATCTCGCCTGGCCTGCAAGCGGGGATTGTAGTTTCTTGGTAGCGGCCGTGAACCGAGAGAATATGGTACCGAAAGGAAAATGAAGCGATGAGCTCTGAAAACACCAGCTCTGTTCGGCTGTGTGAGTGCGTATTAGAGGACAGCAAGACGGATGAAGATGTTGTCGCTCGCAGCTTTGGTTGTTTCGTTGCTTGCGGTCTTGAGGTCGCGGATCCCTGTCACGTGAAACACAGTTTAAGGTTGAAGCCAACGCCCCAGAACTCCCATCATGCCGTCGCTCTGCCTGAGATAATAATATCTCTACTCCGTAGGAAAATGGGAATTCCCAATTCTATAATTGCTGAGTAGAGGGATAAAGCATTTTCTACTGGAAAATACTGATCCAGTGGAAGGGAACCTATGAATGTAGACGAGAGGTTGGCGAATTAAACATTTCTATTAGAGTCTACACCGAACTAACATCACAGGCTCAGCACGCTCGCCGGTTTATGGAGAAAGCAGCAACAATATCAAGACAGGAGGGAGTAAACCAGGGAAACACTCTAAAAAAAAAAGGAAAGAAAAGGGAATAAACAAATCCCGCTCATGAATGCACCAGATGCTCAAGCAATGAAGCCAGGGAGCTGAGTCCCGGGTAGACCTCCGAAAAGGGGGTATATAGTCCCATCTATATCGGGCCGCCCAGAGGAATGGGGAAAGATATAGAGAAACAGAAAGAAAAGCGAAACTCCGGGACTGAAACGCCAGCCAGCCATAGTCCAAAAAAAAATACACAGCCATCTATCCGATAGCTTAATGTGGCACTGCGATTACTCTAGCGAACGGGAAGACTTCTGGGAGTGCGTGCGGGAGACTTGGGTGCCCCGGGATCGTCAGTATCTTCCTCGTTCGACCATGCAGGAACCTCATCAGACATCCGCCGGTCGTCTTCTTCTTCGTATTCATCTTCTTCAGAAATGTCGTCCATGTCCTCGTACACGGAATCATGTATAGAATCGTTCATATCGCCAGAAATCTCTATAGAGTCACGAGATATATAGGTCTCATGGATACCGCTGCGGTGATCAAGATCATATTCATCGTCATCGTCAGCCCGGTCTGAGCCGGCGTCGGTGTCTGTAAGTGAAAACTCATCCAGATCCCTCGGCTGGTCCCTCCAATATGTAAAATCAGTAAACTCTTCGCCACCTTCCTGCACAAGTGTGCTGACGGGGGGGAAAAAGTGGTCAACCAGCTCCCTCATTGTCACATAGCTACTCTTATACTTGGTTAAACTGAGAAGATCAAGTGAGACTTCTGCGTTGGAGTTGATGGTGAATATCCTGGTCGAGGGGATATTGACGGATCGATAACTGAGTGCATCGGTAAGACGGTTACCGAAGCCGGCATAGAATGGGTTCTGGCGTCCTTCGAAAAGACTAAGGATATCGCGCAGGCAGGCCATTTTGAATACTTCCGGTTTGCGGAGGTATATCTCACGCCGTAGTGCGGCGATTGTTCGGTCAGGGCTCATGATCACTGGACCTTGGGGGATTTTATATCCATCCTGCAAAATCCCTTTGAGATATGCTCGGGTGGTGTCCGCTTGGCCGGTAGATCTACTTGTTAGGTACATGATGTTGTAACCATTGCTTGCAATATCAGTGTAGAGCTTTGCAACGCCAAGATGAGTCCAGTCTCGCCCGATCATATTCAGAACATGCCCAAGAGCATCAGACCTATAATGAGAAGTTAGAAAAATTATGATCTATGTATAGGGTACAGGCGCATAGCTAACTTGGTTATGGTCCCGTCAATATCGGAGATGACGATAGGAACTTTGTAGCTCCATAGGTACATGGTTGCGGGGCAAACGGCCTTGTTGACACTAAAGGATATCGGGTTGGCACCGGGCTTGAGGTTGAGCGCCTTAAGCTGATCGCTCGTTAAACGCAAGGTCTTCGCATAACTACGACCGCCTTCCGGCTGCTTATCTGTCGGGGTTTGCGGCGGGGTAGGATATTCCAACTGTGCGTCTGACTGAGAACGGTGATGTTTCTGCGGATGGTTATTGTAGTCCAGCTGATCGTTATCGCTTTGGTATCCTGGGTCCGATACGGCATCATCTGCCATACCGTTATGGTGCTGTAGGGCGCTATAGGAAGCCTTCCGACCAGCCGCCTCCTTGGCCTCTTCGCTGCTGTAGATCCATAGATTTCCATGCTCGTCGGCCCCAATCAAGGCACCGATATCATAGTTCCCCTCCAGCTCTTCGGCCAGGATCTTACGAGCAACCACCTCTGCTCTCAGGGCCTCGTCCTCGCTACTCTTGTATCCAGTCATATCAAGCATCAGATCACCACTCTCGGTCACCTTGGAAGGAATATTCGACCCGGATAGCTTTTTGGATAGTGAAATAGCTCTGGAGTATGCCTCTTGACGGGATATTGGGGGTGGGCTCTGGGATCTCGTCGTCTGTGGTGAACTGTTTGCACTCTGGCCATTTGCACGGCCAGCTTCCAGCAGGTCATCTGACCGAGATCTGTCTAGCTTATGGCCTGGTTCACGTACATTCTTCGAGACAGGGGAGGATCGTTCAGTTTCGCTATCCAAGAGGGGTTCAGTTGTCGCGCGGGCCTGTTTTGGAGGGGTAGACGACTTTGAGGTAAGGTCAAGGTACTCGGGTTCTTGTAGGTTTAGGGTACTGTTGTTACTTGGCTCATTTGGCGACTGCTGCGGACTAGCAGCGGGAGATATAACAGGTGAAGTCTGCAGGTCTTCTGGGACGTCACCAGTGGTTTCGAATACGAAAAAGGCTTCCCCGCCTTCCCCGAGCTTCATGGCATAGTCTTGCTTGACTCCATTGACACTGAACTCGACCTGATGAATGACTAGTTAGCAAGGTGTTCCATCTCTTCAAGTCTCTTCTGCCGCTGGAGACTGGCAAGCCTACCTTCTTCTCGTACGGCCGAAGGAGGGAGAATTTGCCGAAACGGACATGGAACGGCGAGCATGCGAGTGTTCCTGGAATTGGGACGGTCAGCAACTGCGTGCATCTGTGTGTCACCCGGGCCTGGAAGGGACTGACCGTCTTCTTGCTCAATGACTATCACGTCGATGGCACCGCTGAGGGTAGCCGGATTGATAGAATTCCATGTCTTAGATACCGAACCGCTGATACTCCTAACGTACTGCATCCCGCCTAGCTCGGCATGTGAAGTTGAAGACAGCTTACAGAAGACAGCACCGAGGGAGCACGCAGACAAAGAGAGAGAAAGAGAGAGAGACGGGATATTCGACAAAGACAGGGACGACGCCGGCGGTTGTTGGGAGCTGAAGTTGCGGTTGACGTCGAAGTCGTAGATGTTGAGGCCGGCGAGCAGCGCAGAACATGTGACGAGCCCGGCGAAGAGAGTTTCCTACTACTAGGTAAAACTATGTCACTCGCGGGTCGCTTCGGCGTGAAAAGGCGCAGCGAAGGAAAAAAAGAAAAACAACGACGCAGCGACGATTACTTGGTTATATCTTGTATATTTACTCCGTCCAACGCACGACGATGCGACTGTTGACGCTGATTTAGAGAGTCAAGAAGAGAGACGGGGGCGAGACAAAGCCCGACAGCCTTATAAATAGCTGTTTTTTGGTGGCGCTA